ATATATATATATATGTATGTATATATATATATGCAACAAGCAATATAAAGTGATAAATATCGAAATATAATAAGCAAAAAAGACTGCGTATTAAGTCACATGTGCCATCACTCATGTGATTGGTTTGTTGGGCACCTATGACTAGCAATCTCCCACTTAATCTAAAGTCAATCACCTATGTGTGTAATCCCCATCAGACCCCTATGATGCTTAAAGACAATATGAGACAATCGCTTTGTTAGTGAATCTGCAATGTTATCTTAGAATGAAACTCTTTCCACTGCTATATCTCCTCGGGTCACGATCTCTCTAATCAAGTGGAACCTCCTAAGAACATGCTTAGATTTCTGATGAGACTTGGGTTCCTTCGCTTGAGCAATCGCCCCATTGTTATTATAATATAAGGAAATTGACTCCTTGATACCCGGCACGACTCCTAGATCTGTGATGAACTTCTTCATCTAGATTCCCCCCTTTGTCGCCTCTACTGCAGCAATGTACTCCGCCTCTACGATCGAGTCAACAGTAGTATGTTGCTTGGAACTCTTCCAACACACTGCTCCTCTATTCAAGGTGTACACATACCCCGAATTTGATTTGCTATCTTCCACATCGGATTGAAAAATTGAGTCCGTATAGCCTTTAACCCTAAGGTTACTACCTCCAAATACTTTAGGATACACTTTACTACTTTCGAGTGCTCCAAGCCTGGATCCGTCTGATACCTACTCGTGACACTCAGAGCATGTGCTATATCAAGCCTAGTATATAGCATGACATACATGATAGACCCTATTGCTGAGGCATAGGGTATCATATCTATGTTCGCCCTTTCTTTATGAGTCTTTGGGGACATACTTCTAGAAAGCGATATCCCATGTCTCATCGGTATGACTCTTGGAATTTTTCATGTCAAACCTTTTATCAATAGTGTCTATGTACTTGGACTAAGATAAGCTAAGAATCCTCTTGGATTTATCTCTATTGATCCGAATCCCTAAGATATAGGATGCTTCCCCTAAGTCCTTCATGGAGAAGTGTCTAGATAACCAAGTCTTTACTGTAGATAACATTCCTACATCATTCCTAATGATCAGGATATCATCCACATATAACACCAAAAGGGTGATAGCACTCCCACTTACCTTCATGTATACACAAGACTCATCTTCATTTTTAACAAAGTCATAAGATCTGATTGCCTCATCAAATCCTATGTTCCAACTTCGGGAAGCTTGCTTTAGTCCATAAATGAATTTAAGCAACCTACACACCTTATCTGGGTAGTCCTTGGACACGAATCCCTTGTGTTATATGTTGAATCTCGGATTTTGATGATGAAACCAATTGATAAGTATTTATGATTTGATCTGCATTTTTAGTGACGTAGGACGCTTCGATCAGGATGAGATAATTAAAGCAGGAAGAATAATGTTAGGCCGGAGGAACATATTAGAAAATTGGATGTCGGGCCGGAGGATCGATCGATATATCGATATAAGGCTTCAGGCCATGGATTTGAGCATCGCGCCAAGAAGAGTGGATATTGCACCAAGGATATCGGAGTTGCGAAGTCAACTAGCTGATTGGGTAATAATACACAAGAGAGGATGATGCGCCGAAGAATCGGACGAAGTGTCGAGGGATCAATGACATCTCGGATAACATGATTAATGCTTAATATTAATTTTCTAGATTGAAGTGTGTTTTACATGTGCAGGATTAACTACAATAGCAAGGCATGAAGCAAAATGAAGTCCTAGAGTCAAGGACGTAATTTGATTGGGAGTTCGAGAGTTCGTCGGAACCAGCCGAGAAGTCTCAGAGCTTGCCAGAGAAGCTCGTTGGAACTCACCAAGAAGATTATCATGAAGTCCAAGGGCTTGCCAGAAGTCCATTGGAACATTGCCGAGAGATCGTTGGAAGTTTGCCGGAAGATCGCTGGAAGCTCGTCGAAAGAAACCAAGATTTACGGACTTGTTTAGCTTAAGTATCTCTTAGATTTTGTAGTTAGCATGTAATTGGATTTGGAATTGGGCCAACTCAATTATGGGCCAGTTGGGCCCATGTAAGAACTATGTTGGACCCAATGAAAAGGCCCAAACAGTGCCCGAAGATATGACACCGTCGTGGCATAGTCTCCAAGACTATGTCAAGCGGTGGTACCGTCGGTCTGGGCGGTGGTACCACCCAGACACAACCTCCAAGAGGCTGCAGGCGGTGGTACTGCCCAGTGTCAAGTGATGGTACCACTAGACTGGATGGTGGTACCGCCTAGTATAGTGTCAGTGTCAGACTGACACTAGCGATGGTACCGCCCAACATAGGTAGTGGTACCACCCGGACCTAGGAAACCCAGGATGAGATATTTTTGGGCTCCAAGTTTAAATCAACTTAAAGCCTATAAATACCCATCTCATCCCTGGTTAACACACATAAGCATGGAGAGTTTAAAATTAAAGAAACGCTGTTGAAATCACTTGAGAAATCCCCTCCTCTAGTCTAAGTCTAGAATTCTATTTAGGAGGAGTGTGTGTGCTTGTAAGGGTTGTCTCCTAAACCCGGTAAAATGAAGAGGGGTATAAGAAAGAGGTTGATCTTTGCCTATTAAAGAAAGATCGATAGTGGATGCCGGTGGCCTCGACGGAAGAGGAATCTGCGAAGTGAATGTAGGTCACGACGACCGAACCACTCTAAAATTAGGTTTGCATTTCTTTGAGCAATTTGCTTTAATTGCAAAC